GACAAAGCATTATTTTGTATTTGTGAGAAGGAGGAAAAAGAAGATGAATGTACTTTATTATGTATTTTCATGTCTGTGTGTGTGTGTGTGAAAGCAATGGAGAGAAAGAGTTGGGAAGCAGAGAGTGACATGTTGGCATGTTGCAGGGACAGCTGACAGGAACACCAGGTGCTGACAAGCGGAGAACTGTGATTGTTCCAGAAGCATCTCCAGCAAGAAGTCGGAGCAGATGCTGGAGATGACAGAGCGGTGTGTGAGCTCTGTGACAAGGCTTCACCGCGCGTCAGCACCCAGCTGCAAACGCAGCATCCGACCTGTTGTCTGCAAACTGTGCTGTTCAGCACCACGGGAGCACAAACCTTCACCGACTCTCCCTGGCAGCTGTTCTCTGGGAGAGAACTTCTTGTCAAAGATCCTCTTTTTGGAAAGAATTGAAATCCATGAAATATTTTTCTTTAAAAAAAAATAAAAATACGGACTTACATTTTTAATAAATACTTCCACTTGCATGTTTCATCGAGACTCTAAAGTTTAGTTATACTCAGTAAATTATTCCTTTTGTCTACTAAATGGTAAGTAACCTTCGTTTGTTTGTTTTACATTTATGTGGGGCTATACTTACCTCTAGCGGTCAAATTACACCATTGCAACTTGGACTGCTTAAGTCCAAATATGCCTGTAAATATGCATGCATATTTTCTGCATCCTTACTAAAATTCATAAATAATTAAAAATATATATTATTTAATGTTTATGACCTTTAAATGGCTTATTAGTTAATTTTTTGCAGATAAAAAAAGAAGAAATGTATTAAATATATATATATATATATATAATTTTTGTTTTTTTCCGTTTCTCTGCTCGCCTTCAGTGGACTTCTTGAAGGAAACGAGGACACATTCAGCACGCAGCAGCTCACACCATTATCATGTAATAGCCTGCCCGATGGTGCAGGGTGTTATGTGGGTTCACCGGTCAGCCAAGACACACGCCATTAGCCTGAGCAAACGTTGCCTCGCGGTGCCACACGGAGCATACCTTATTTGTATCACATTAGCTCTTCGATGTGGCATAACATATTATATCAACAGATGCAATTCATCAAACAATTTTGATTTGCACTGATTTTTGTTACTGACGGCAGCAGCAGCAGCAGCAGCATCTTCAACTTTCGGCTCCACTATGAGAAGCTGCAGCAGCAAATAAATTAAACATGTGTCATTGAGCATGCTAAATGGCTTGCAACACATAATCATCTAAATAATTATGAGGCTGCCATTAAAGTGAGCTAGATGGATGACACATGAGGCGTGGAAGTAATGGTGCAAGATTTGATATGGGAGAAAAGAGGAGGAAAAAATAGGGGAAGAAAAGGAAATACAGTTTCCTGTGTGATCTTTTCCATCACTGTTGTTTTTTTTCTTTGTTGTAAAAGAAAAAAAAAAAACGTACCCAGGCTTAAAGGGTTCAGGGGACAATGGGGTGATTAGCTCAATCAGAAAAAGCAGTGGGGGATTGTGGGTAGGCTGCAGTGCTGCTCACAGTTGTCTTTTTGTCCTCCCACATTTTACTAATCAGCAACCTGGAGCCCCCTGAAATCAGTTCAGCAAACCGGCAGCTCGCTCGTTTGTTCCCATGTAGCAATCAGACGAGGGGGAAAGAAATCAGTTCACAACCTTTACGCAATAACCTGACATTATAAACCACATCACATTGTATTCATTTTCTCCCTCCTGTCATCATTTCTTCTTCTTTGCCATGTGCGGTGGCAAATATTAAGTTCTTGATGGCAAATCTGACCTCTATTAACCCCTCGGATGAGAATTTTATTTTTACCTCTCAGTGCAATCCGACTCGGCTAACAATGAAAAGGAACAAGAGTAAGTGGTGCGTATTAGCGACGGGTGCTGTTAAATGTGGCAAAATTATCTGCTTTTACAGATCTTGGAGTGTATTTTACGCTGCCTCGTAAATGAAGCAGTGTGCAAAATTATCTGCTTTTACAGATCTTGCAGTGCGAACTCACATGCATCGCTGGTACTGAAGGCTTCTGTTCATTGGGAAAATCGTTGGCATTGGACCAACTTTTACACAGTCTGAAAGGAAAATATCCACAGCTATTGAAGTTTTATTTGAAAATAGAAGCTGGCATTGAACCTCAAAGACACAAACCAGTGAGAGAACATGTCTATATGTCACATGGTGTTGAAAAAACATCTTATGAAATATCAAATAAAAAATGACAAACAAGATAACATGAATGCCCTGACGGTGGCAATACGATTTAGATGTACTACCAGTGGCACATGAACTATAGTTTGAGAAACCTGATCTAAAGCTTGTTTTTTTTTTTCTTTAGTGTGTATCTCTCTGTGGCAGAGGTTCTTCTCTGGGGATGGAGAAAGATTGAGCTCCGTCTCCCTTAAGGACGCAGGCAGCTGCTAAACCTCATCCTGTCCAAAAGCACCAATCTGTATGACAACCTTCAGCCAATAAACAAACAATCAATGTGAGCCTATTGCATGAACCGGTCCAAACTGGGATAATTTCCCCCGGGAAGCGAGAAGCAATGGGGCAATGCAATAAGGGATCAGGTCTGCGGTGTAATATTACGAGCTGGAAATGTAATTTGAGGAATGACGAGGCGCTAGCTAGGATGTGAGACGCTCTCATTAGTGACCTCTGTTGGAAGCTAACGGTTACTGTCTGGCCCCATAGCTTTCCTTTACTCCTTGCGACGTACAGTAGGAGATTGTGCATCGGTTTTTAGCGGCGCAATATTTACTCGCTATGGCATTGATTTATTTTTAGCGGCGCAATATTTACTCGCTATGATTGATTTGTTTGCATTTAAAAAAATAATAATGCTTTTCAACATGAATTTCATAACTGGGCGGAAGTAATATATTATTATTGTTGTTGTTGTTATTATTATTATGAGAACTATGTTGTTGTTGTTATTATTATTATGAGAAGTATTAGCAGCAGTAATAATAATAATAATAATAATAATAATTTATTACGTTATTTTTTTTAAATTACACTTTTTTTTGACGAAAAATACAACACAACTAAACTCGGCCTGTGATTGGCTAGAAAAGTTTTAGCCCACGAAACCAAACCAGACTCAGTGCTAGCTTGAATTTTGGCCTAGGTTTTTATTATTTGACGGGCCGGTTAAGGCCCTTAATTCACTACTGCTGTTATATAACCATTCTCAAGGCTAAACAGGTTTTGCTATATAGGTCATGTTTGTTAAGGTATGACTGTGTTCATTGTCCCGCAGAATGACTCATTAATACCGTGGGAGAAGCATGACGCAGGAACAGCCGTGGTTCCTAAAAGTGAGAGGAAGAACTGAAGCGATAATAAACATTTAACTGTAATTGGTAAGTGAACAATTGTTGTATGAATGAAAACAATCCTGTTATAAATTTCCTGCTGTTTTGTTACGTTCGTTTTTCACATTACATATCTTTAAAAACACTCTTTGTATTACTGCTTTGGTCCCACATCCAAAGTTATGTTGAAATAGCCAAATGTTGAAGACAGAAATAAATGAGTGTAGATAAAAATGCAAAATTAAGTTGTTCTTAGTTTGTTTCCAGCTGGCAGCTGAGAAGGAAACTCTGTTTAATTGCTGTGCCAGAGGGCTTGAACGCTCACTAAGTCAAAATCCTTCTTTCAGAGAAGCCAGAAAATAAATGGTTTAATTCATGATACCCTTATCCATTTGTAGTGCTACAATAGGCTATAATAATACAGTATATCATCCCATAACAAACAGCAAATATGAATTGCTTTACTATTTTTGTACAGTTGATGGAAACCTATGTAATGTTTTAAATTGGTATTAGGCTTACTTACTTTTAAGGATTTAAAATTCGGATTATTAAAATGGTAATATTTTAAAGCATAATATTTGATTTTGAAAAACAGCACTGGATATAGGCTTTTTATTGTGGTTTTTAATATTAAAGACTTAGTTTTTTTTTAGGGAAAGTAGGTTGCCAGTTATTACCAAGAACTTGTAGTTTGTTATTTTTGCCACTGGAGGGTGACAAAGCGACGTAAGTCAACGATGAGAACAAAACGACTTGAAATCTCTAATTTAAAATGTAAAAAATAAATAAAAATGTAATAGGCAATGGCATTACGAGCTTAGAAATCACAACAGCAGCGAGTTACACATTGAATGAATACATTTATCCGTAATCTTAAAATTGTAATGGGATTTTATTATTAATTCGTACCAGGGTCAGCCAATAGTCCCTCGTTCTCATTCAATAGTGACTTTTCTTGAATGCCATTTAGATTCTATACACCTCGCATCTGTTATTCTATAATAATTTGTTAAATATGCTACACAGTTAAGGAGTAGATATTTAGTTTATTATGTTTCTTTTGTGCCAACATTAACACTTTAAATGTACATAAACAAACTTTCAATACAGGGATTCAGAATTTTCAATAAAGTACCTATTTAATGTACTTGTTATAACGATGGTATTTAGCTGTCAATATTCCATTCCTATTTATATGTCCATGTTATTGAGCAATAACAGTGCTTCTTGTAACATATTACCATTTGTTTATAGCATAAAATACTAGTCCTCTTGTTACTGTGCCTTTAAAACTTATAAACTCAGTAATCACCCTCATAAAAACATCACTTCCTTGAGTCTAAGGTATGCGTTCTGTGACCTTGTAATTTAATTTGTTGACCCCT